CTGTGCGGGAAAAAAGATAGAGTTGGAGAAAAGAATCAAGCTAAAAATAAAGCACAACTTGCATTAAAACAGACCCGGGTGATAAAAATGAATGATAGCCCCAACTCCCGTGCTTATCGCCGACCATGCTACGGGGCCCAAGGCCATTGCTATGTACAGCACCTAAGCTGCGAACACGGCCCTAGCGAGACCCTCGAATGACCGATAACGCAAGCCACTAAACCGTCACACATCCCATATTACTCGTCCAACCTGCCCTATGCACACGGCAGCAGCCGTCACTCTTCATGCTTCAAATACCGCACCGCCAGTTCGCCGCCCGATTGTTTTGAAACTCTTATAGGCTCCATCGTTGCCCATGATGTCGAACCTGTTCGAGCCCATGGCATCCTGAGAGTAGCCCGAAAAGTAGTATCCGACGATGACAACGAGGTAGGAAAGCAGTAGGATGCTTCCCTTGAAGTAGTTGCTCTTACCCTCACCGTACATGTAGCTGAGGAGGAAGACGCAGAGAATTACGAGGACCATATCCCACTCGGGGAATAGCAACGCAAATGTATACCGCTCGAGGTCTTCGCTGCTAGGCAGATCCATGGGGTAGAAGGCTGAGAAGAAGACAAGCGCGGGAACTGTAGCAAGCAAACCTGAAGCGCGTACGCTGAACCAATTTCCATGGACAACGCAATGTTTCCGTTCATTGCGAAAGAGATGGCGTTCTACACTGATTAGCACATGTCATGGAAATTGGAAGCGTTAAGACGTACCAAGAACTCGGTGGTGTTGGGGACCAAGGCAAACAAGGTAATACCGAGGAACTTCTCGTCAATAGCGAAACCTTCTAAAACGACATCGACAGTGTCTACCAGAATTTCGGCCACAATGGCGTATAGCACTGTGGCGCCCATGAGTACGATTGAACTCTTGAGACGACTCCAGTTTGGGGCGTCATGCCCACCGTGAGCGTTACCGCTGACGGCAGCAGCAGCCGGATCCTCGGCCTCCGGGAACGGGGCAGCGCGACTTGTTGCAGGGCGTGGAGTCGTGGGCACAGTGTTAGTCGGCAAGCCCGAGCCTCGACGAGGAAGACGGGCATCCCGGGCCGCAAACGTGGCAGCAGTGGCAGCAATTTCGGCGACTTCGCGAGCCAGGGCGTTGTTGTCAATCTCTGAAAGACCAGAGAGATGCATACCAGCGCGGACATCGCTGCCGCTAACCTTAGGAGGGACTTGGTGCGGAAGGCCGGAAGCTCCATTCGCAGAGCCAGTTGTCAATGTAGAGCCCTGACGCGTGATGTCCTCTGACCTAGGCTGCAGTCCGACTTGCTTTTGTGTGTGACCGAGAATGCGTTTGTACAAGTGCGAATCTCGAATATCGGCGCTCGAGCTGCCAGGCGCCTCGTGGAACGAGTGGGGAACCGAAGGTCGTGTCGATGTTTGTGTGGGGGGTTCGTCATGCTTCTTCTCGTCCAGCTGATCTTTCCAAATGATGGCCGGCATGTGTCCGGAGGGTGAACCCAAAGACCTACGATATAGGATAGGAACAACAGACAGGCGCAGAAGTAGCAGAAAGGGACGCACCGCCTCCAGGTAGAAGCGATCGTTCAGGGCTGGTGTTTGCGAGAAGTAGCACCTTCGACAGTCCCGGCTGTCTCCTTGGGCGACAGCCTGGCTGCCGTCGTAGTCCAAGCAGTCAAGACAATTCAGCTCGTGCGTGCCATAAATTTGGTAAAAGAGAGTTGGTCCAAATGCGCCAATGACGGCAAACAAAAGCATAGTGGATGTGACACCAGCCGACTTGGCGTTAAACCGTTGAGTCTTGCGCTTGATGGCACCGAAGCACATGGAAAGTCCCGGGAGGAAGAGGATGCCCGCAAAGATGCTGCCCACGATGCTGCCCTCTACAAGTTGCCCTTTGCCTTGCTTCAGGGCAACGCAGTATAGGAAGACCTCGACAATGGTAGAAAAGAACGCGTTGATTGCAGCACCCAGACCCATGGACGACTGTGCTGAGATGGAGGCGACAGCTTGGCCAATGAAGTATGCCAGAGGGATGATGGACAGCAGACCCATGACGAACAGGAAAGCAGGCGAGGTAATAAAGATGTCCATGTGTAGCATATTTTCGAGGACGGCCCAGTCCAGTATGACAAAGACAACAACGCCCATGAGATTGATGAGGAAGATGTTAGTGCCATCAACGGTGTACTTCCAGTATCGGGTTCCCACAGCACGATAAGTGCACAGAAGGATGGATGCGTTTTGTCCGTTGGAAAGCCGGGCGTAGCTGACGTCCGAGTCGAAAGACAGCGCGAGAGGGTGGCGTCGGAGATGATCGAAGAGCAGCATCGTGACCTTGCCCATCGGGATGGTGAAGACGAAGAACCAGCAGATCAGAGACACGATAATTAAAGACGGCGTCAGGAGGAAGTAGAAGAACAGGAAGAAGGTCACGCGGCCTATGTTCCACTGTCCACGACCGAATAGTCGCCTCTTCAGTCTGGGAGGCGTTTGGCTCCTTTCGCCCCGACGGGAACGACCGAGGAGGCTGTCGGTCTCACTGAGCTCGGAATCGATACTCCGTCGCGAACGTCCAACGATGGATCGATTGCGCTCCGGGCCGAAGAACAGTCGTCCATACTCAAGGTCGCCGCTTTGCCACTGCTCGTACTCGGAGATGCTCCGCCCTTCGCCTTGGTCCTCGTCTAGGTAGGCATCGTCCTGTTCCAGGCGTACGTACTTGCCGAAGGGGTAGAACAGGTAGCCAGCAAGACCCCATAGGACTCGCCCATATTCTCTACCGCTGGGTGTGGCAGCAAAGAAGAAACAGACGAGGGCGCCAAGGGCCGCGAATGTTGCCATCCACCAGCCGAAAAGGATGGTCCAGAGGAGGTTGAAGAAGACCAACCAGGAGCTGACCTTGAGACCAGGAGAAGAGTGAATATCCCCCTCTGCCGTTTTTTGCACAGACCGGTCTTTCTTGTACAGCGCAGGCTTCCAGAGTCGGATACCAAAGGGGTGCGTTTCGTTGATAGCCTGCTGCCGATCCTTGAGTGTAAAGCTCTCGGCATCACTGATGTCTCCATCCGACTCGCATTCAATCTCTTCTTCAGGAGCCGCTTCGCTTGCATCATCAGACATCTCTTCAGCGGGTTCGTCGTCGGCGCGAGGTGTCTCGGGTTGCTCGTCGTCGTTTTCTTCTGGCTCGCTTCGCGAGGATTGGACTCTTGATAAAGTATTGCCTAGCTGGGGCCTCCTGCGGGTGCTGTAGCTTTGCTGGTGATGATGTTCCCGGTGGCGTTTGGTAGCATCTGCAGCAACCTCATCAAGATCGTCCTCAGTTGAGAAGACTTCACCTCGGTGGGGAGCAGCAGGGTTGGTCGGTCGGCGCGGCATCGGGGGCTTTCGCGTTCGTGAAGCCTTGACACGGTCGGGTCCCAACATGGGAGATCGGGCAGGTTGAATCGATCGCGAGTGGGCTCGGTCGTGGGCTGAGGAGTCTCCAGCGTATTGCGGTGTTAGGCTTTGGCTGCTTTGCATGGAGCCTGGAGAAGCAAGAAAGAAAGATTGTTAGCTGAGCAACAGGGTTACGCGCGGCTTCGGGTCAAGCTTTAGATTGAACGGCTTGGGGTCAGTCTTGGCGTCCGCCCCCGGATCCAGTGGAACATGTCATGTGGCGCCGGTTGAGAGAATGGAAGCTGAAGAATTTCCATAACCATCTTCAGGGCGCCGCCTGACCGTATCAGTGGACTGGAAAGACTGGAAGCTCTCAGATAAACCCTCGTCACGGCCAGCGCCGTAGGATTAGTATCTAGTTGGACGCCTTGTGTTTGTGGGCGAAGTGTTGGATGACTCGCCCTGGTTGGAGGGCGTTCCTGACCTGTCATAGGGATCCATGATGGCGTGAAGTTGAGCTGAATCGGTAGAATCGAGTCAGTTTGCTGCACGCAGCAGGCGGCGCGAGGTTGTGGAAATGCTGTGACCGGTGTCGCCGTAGGTCGTGTCCTCACAAATTCAGCGTGGCAAGGTTGCTTGGTGCATGGCAGAAACCGCTGGGTGCAAGGTTGCGTGTCAAGCCGTCGTCGATAGGTTGTTCGTGCCGTGGTGCTGTGGAACTCACAGCTTTTTGCGTGCGGTTGACAAGAGTGATGTGAGCCGGTAGGTGGAGAGGGGCAAGAATAAAATCGCAACCCGAGCTGGGGGAGGAAGAGGAGAGGTAAACAAGATGGCCAGCCGGAGGTAGCTTGAAGCTCGAGCTTCGGGAATTAGTAGGTAGGCAGAATGACAGGGTCTGAGAGCTGAAAAAGCCAGGGGGGGGTGGTGGGTTTGATGTTGGGTCAGGTCGGGCAGGAGGCAGATGGGTAAAGTAGAGAGGGGCCGTTGTACCAGGCACGTCCTGTCGGCTTGTCGCAAAAGCACGTCAGGTCAGGTGTTGGCACAAAGATGGGAGAGACATGGAGATGTGACGGAGAGACATGAGGAGAGACGACTGATGAGGTTCATTCCTGCTATGGCTCTTGGCCTTTGCAGTTGGCCTTCAAAGCCGAGGGAAGGTAAGACCTAGTGTTGTTAGGCTGAGCTTCCCTCGCATCTTCAGTGCTCTCTGCTCCATTCCTTCCCCAGACTCGTGGCATCGGGCCCCACGGCTGTTCATTCATCTGCTCCCTCCTCCCTCCCTCATCCTCATAGTCACCATCTACTGCGTCTGTCGACTGTAGCGATGGCGCACCATTGCCGGCTGGTCCGATGATTGCAGGCTCCCGATCATCTGCTCATCAAGAAGTATCCGTAAGCCGACCGAGAGACACCAAGCCGTGACGAGGGGCTCAGCCTGCATCTGGATGGTCATGTTGGCCATTTCGGCAACACCCCTTCTGCTCATCCATCTCCACCCAGGTGGCATCATGAGGCGTGATTGGCAATATTCTCTCCTCCGTTCGACTTACTAGTGCCGGATGATTCTTAGTGGTAGCGGTGCCAGCCGCGACTTGCGATCCCTGGATCCACGCCGATGAACAGCCTGTGAACGTGTACCTCGTAGGCTCTCTACTAGGGTCCCTCCTTTAGGAGTTCCACCCACCGTGCCTCCGTTGCCGAGTTTTCGATCAAGAGGGCGCTTATCCGATTCGAGAAGACGTCACTGTGCATCCCTGCCAATGCACAAGACATGCTCTGGGCACTGACGGCAACAGTGCAGTACACCGTACCTGGGTGGGTCATGGACGCGATGCGATGCATGGCTGGCCATTGCTTCGTACCTGAGTGGCAGGCGGTGAACCCCCACAAAACTGACGCCTCCTGCTTATCTAAGAAATCTATCTGTATTGCATTATGAGCAGCACGTGACCTACAAGGCCACCCCGGACGCGTACCCGATGGCTTGCCTGAGCTGTGACAGCGACAACGGTGCACTACACCCAGCCTTGCCTAGCACATCGTTCTGTTCCCGATACTCACCTCATCACGATAACCAAACCCGACGACTTCCGCCATTACCAACCATCATCTACGCCCCGTTGATCGTTTCTACACAGCCGAAAGCACAGCAGCAGACTATCCTTCAAGCGCCCCCCGGGCACCAACGTCATCATGGCGCTCGACAGCTACTACCAGAACAAGATTGAGGCGATGAAGCTTGAGATCCTCAAGGGCCAAGCTGTCCTCCGCCGTCTTGAAGCCCAAAGAAACGACTACAACTCTAGGGTGCGTTTGTTGAGGGAAGAGCTCGGTCTGCTACAACAACCAGGTTCCTACGTCGGCGAGGTGGTCAAGGTCATGGGCACGAAGAAGGTCCTCGTCAAGGTGCATCCTGAAGGCAAATATGGTATGCATCACTGTCTCCCGAGCGTCCAGGATCTGTCCTCATTCTGATAATCCTTGCGTAGTTGTCGATATCGCCGACTCGGTCGACGTCACCAAGCTCACTGTCGGCAAGCGAGTCACTCTCCTCTCCGACAGCTACAAGCTCGAAAAGATGCTGCCCTCCTCCGTCGACCCTCTCGTCTCCCTCATGATGGTCGAGAAGGTGCCTGACAGCACCTACGACATGATCGGCGGTCTCGACCAGCAGATCAAGGAAATCAAAGAAGTCATCGAGCTCGGCCTCAAGCACCCCGAGCTCTTCGAGTCCCTCGGCATTGCCCAACCAAAGGGCGTCCTCCTCTACGGCCCCCCTGGCACGGGCAAGACGTTACTCGCTCGTGCCGTCGCCCACCACACCGACTGCAAGTTCATCCGTGTCTCGGGCTCCGAGCTCGTGCAGAAATACATCGGCGAAGGCTCGCGTATGGTCCGCGAGCTCTTCGTCATGGCCCGCGAGCACGCACCCTCCATCATCTTCATGGACGAGATCGATTCGATCGGCTCCTCCCGCGTCGAGGGCTCCTCGGGCGGCGACTCGGAGGTCCAGCGCACCATGCTCGAGCTCCTCAACCAACTCGACGGCTTCGAGCCCACCAAAAACATCAAGATCATCATGGCCACCAACCGTCTCGACATTCTCGACCCCGCCCTCCTCCGACCTGGCCGCATCGACCGCAAAATCGAGTTCCCCCCGCCATCCGTCGAGGCCCGCGCCGACATTCTCCGCATCCACTCGCGCAAGATGAACCTCACTCGCGGTATCAACCTCACCAAGGTCGCCGAGAAGATGAACGGCTGCTCCGGCGCCGAGCTCAAGGGTGTCTGCACCGAGGCTGG